GATGAGAAGTTTTATATGGGTAATTCATCTACTTCAAAAGTTGAAGGTGTGGGGAAAGTGGCTTTGAAGATGACATCTGGAAAGATAGTGACACTCAATGATGTGCTCCATGTGCCTGATATTCGCAAGAACCTAGTTTCTGGATCTCTGTTAAGCAAGAATGAGTTTAAACTTGTATTTGTTTCTGATAAGTTTGTACTTACTAAGAATGATGTGTATGTAGGAAAGGGTTGCCTCAGTGAGGGTCTTTTCAAACTGAATGTGATGATTGTAAACAATTCCAATAATATTAATAATACTACTACTTCTGTTTACTTGCTTGAGTCTTCTAATTTATGGCATAATAGATTAGGACACGCTAATTTAAAATCAATTAAGAATTTAATTCATTTAGATTTACTACCTAAATTTGAATGTATAAATAAAAAGTGTCAGGTATATGTTGAATGAAAATTTTCGAAATTACCTTTTAAATCAATTGAAAGATCAGCTGAGTTGTTAGATTTAATACATACTGATATATGTGAAATGAAATCTACACCATCTAGGGGTAATTAGAAATACTTTATTACGTTTATCAATGATTGTAGTAGATATTGTTATGTATATTTACTATTGGTTATGAATAAGAAGTGGGTTAAAAAAGATAAGAGAAAAGGATAGTTGAATGGGTGTGTGGACAAACTTATCAGAAACAAATACAAGTTTAAACCCATTCTTGCTTAACAGAGATCCAGAAACTAAGAATGATGTGTATGTAGGAAAGGGTTGTCTCAGTGAGGGTCTTTTGCAAACTGAATGTGATAACTGTAAACAATTCCAATAATATTAATAATACTACTACTTCTTCAATTGAAAGATCAATTGAGTTGTTAGATTTAATACATACTGATATATGTGACATGAAATCTACACCATCTAGGGGTAATAAGAAATAAATACTTTATTACGTTTATCGATGATTGCAGTAGATATTGTTATGTATATTTACTATTGGTTATGAATAAGAAGCGGGTTAAAGAAGATAAGAGAACAGGGGTGTGTGGGTTTAAAAAGTTCCACATTGAACAAGTAAGTCCCACATGTGGGACTTCTTAAACCCACACACCTCTTCAACTACATTGGACAACTAGTAGGAGGTGAGAGAGTTTATAAATGTGAGACTTTTTAAACTCACACACTCCTTCAACTTCCCTCACTCGTGCACCATGTATAACATACATGTGTCCTTCATGTAACCCACACACCACTTCAACTTCCCTCGCACTTGGACCATGTATAACATACATGTGTCCTTCATGTACAATTAAAGAGGCTATACATTATACAAGCATTTAACACGTGTAGGACTTTCTGTGATAGAATGACATGAAATTGGTGTCGACTATTGTTATGAACCATATCTGAACAACCCAACAAATGGATAAGTTAATTATCGGTAGTGGATAGAGGAACTTAATTCATAATCTTAACAATAGGATAATATCATATAACAGCATCACAACAAATCAATTGGATTAGGTAACCTATTATAAATACGGGACTTCAACTTCACCCACATGTACATTTTTTTTGGCTTATTTTACTTCTGTCATTATTATGCATACTGTTGAAGATATGACCTTATCATATAGAAATTCAGTTTGTTGTAATCTTAGTTGTTAGCTTGTAATCCTAGTTGTTAGCAACATATTTAATTATTCTGAGTTATTTTAGGATAGTTCCAGTTTGTTAGGTTTGTTAATATTTTGCTGATTCTTATTGTATTCAATTCAGCCTATTTAAAGGCAACCTATTGGAATATCAAATCAACCAATTGGTACCAAATTTTATCTTAGTATCAAAGCTTTCCATAACCATACTTCCGCAACACCTACAGAGGGCGAAAGCTTGTCCAAATGGCTCCAGGCAGTAACAGCAACAGTCTCAAGCCTTCCGATCCCGCATCTGCATTCCACTTAGGCGGTTCGGACAACCCTGGTGTCATCTTGACGACTGTCATGCTGCGAGGGGAGGCCAATTACGAAAATTGGGCAAAGCTCATGAAAAACGCTCTCAAGGCCAAAAGTAAAACTGGTTTCATTGATGGTTCTATCAAGAAACCAGACAAGGAGAACTAAGATGAATGGCATGCATGGGAGATGTGCAACTCCATGATCAATGGGTGGATTCACAACACCATTGATGCCAAATTACAGCCTTTTATTAAGTGCTTCGATGACGTGAAAGATTTGTGGGAAGACTTGAAGGAGAGGTATGCTGTTCAGAATTTTCCAAAACAGTATCAACTCAGAGCTACTCTCACAAACACACGACAACAAGGAAGTACTATTGGTGAATATTACACCAAGCTCCACGCGATCTGGGATGAGCTCAAGGGTGGCAAGATTTCCAAATCATGCGCTTGTGGAGATAATTGTGCAGTGGCGAAAGAGATAGAAGAAGGCAGAGAACATGAACGCGTGTATCAATTCCTTATGGGATTGGATGAGGCGTCCTTTGGGAACTTACGTTCTCAGATTCTGAATACTACTCCTCTTCCAACTCTTAATAAAGTTTATGCGATTGTTACACAGGAGGAAACACACCGCGCCATTGCCCGTGGCCATGATGATCGCAGCGCTATCATTGGCTATGTCGCCTGCACCGAAACCAGTGGCGGACGAGACCCTAACGCGCAACGTATGTTTGCGGACCAACCAGTGGTTCGTCCTCCATGTCCTCACTGTGGGAAGACCAACCATGATCCATCTCGTTGCTGGAAAATTATTGGTTTTCCACCTATTCGTGGAGCAACTCACGGACGGGGAAGGGGACGTACTGGCGGACGTGGTTCTCATGAACAAGCATATGTCATGCAAACGTCTGACGTTCCTCAACGAGCAACCGTGTCGTCTTCACCAACAACAGCTGCGTTCTCGGTTCTTACTCCTGAAGTGGTGCATAAACTCATGACATTGGTAGATAACCCTCAAACAAATCAGACCACTGACAAATTGTCTGATAAAGCTACTCAATCTCAATGGCTTATTGATAGTGGTGCCTCACAGCATATGACAGGCACATTGGGTTTATTGACTGATGTTAGAAAAATTAAACCTCTAGCAGTGGGGTTACCTAATGGTGCAATTACTCATACAGAACAACAAGGGACAATGGTGTTTAATAACAACTTTATATTGCCAGACGTCTTATTTGTCCCACATTTGCACTGCAATTTGATCTCAGTTTCTCAATTATTGCAGCAGAGTAACAACAAAGTGATTTTTACTAATGGAAAATGTATTTTTGCAGGACCAAGCATTGATGAGGGAGACTGGATTGGGTGATGTTCATGCAGGAGTTTATGTGTTTCAACCCAAGCATGCTTCAGTTTCAACCGTAAGGGTTCAGGAGTCTGCAGAGTTGTGGCACAAGCGATTGGGTCATCCATCTCATGAAGTTGTGTCTTTGCTTCCTTTATTTTCCCATGTTTCAGCTAAAATTGCAGCAAATAATACGACATGTGCCATCTGTTGTCGTGCTAAGCACACTAGAACTATGTTTCATTCCAGTAGTAATCGAAGTAAACAATGTTTTGATTTAATTCACTGTGATACATGGGGACCCTAACGTTCTTCTTCCTTTTCAGGTGCACATTATTTTTAACAATTGTTGATGATTTCAGTCGATTTGTTTGGGTGTATATGTTAGCTGAAAAGAAGGAGACTTGCGATCGTATTCAAAAATTTGTAGCTATGATCAGAACACAATTTGGAAAAATGATAAAAATTTTGCGTTCTGATAATGGATCTGAATTAAAATGTAATAAATTGCTGCAACTATATCATGAAAATGGGATAATTCATCAAACATCTTGTGTTTATACACCGGAACAAAATGGAAGAGTAGAGCGAAAGCATAGACACATTCTCAATGTATCTCGAGCATTACTGTTTCAGGCCGATTTATCCATTGATTTTGGGAAGAAAGTGTGCTTGCAGGAGTCCATTTAATTAATAGAACACCATCCAAAATCCTCTGTGGCCGTACACCTCAGGAGTTATTATATGGGGTAGTTCCTAAATATGAACACTTGAAGACTTTTGGATGCTTGTGCTTTGCTAACGTGAGACCCAAACCTGCGGATAAATTTGCTTCTCGATCCCGTAAATGCTTGTTTGTAGGATATCCTGTTGACCAGAAAGGTTGGAGAGTATATGATTTAGAAAGTAAAGAGTTTTTTGTATGTAGAGATGTGAAATTTTATGAAGATATTTTTCCTTTGTCTTCATCATCATCACATGCACCTAGTAAGTCCAATGATCCTCTACAAGATGCATCCATGTTGCTGTCACAACCCACCATTAATGACGCAGACGATGCAGCCATAACCGAAGACAATACAGAAGTCAGGGGGAGTGATGTTGCAGCACAAAGCTCACCGCTCCAAACTGAAGCAATAGCTCCTGCACCGTGTCCTTCAATGCTGCAAACCGAAGACAATACTGCACCTTCAGCATTGCAAACCGCAGAAAATGCTGTCACTTAGGCCTGTTGCATTGTCCACTCTTCAAGCCTAATGGGCTTTCGTGTGAGGGGGCGTGTTGAGATATATAGTCCCACATTAATTGTGTGGGCAACTAATGTGGCCTTTATAAGGCATTGGACACTCCTACCCTTTCAGCTAGCTTTTAGGGTAATGTATCTCAATATTTTTTACACATAGATACCATCATTAGTGTGCATACCACATTTTGGCTAATGTCAAACAATATAAGTGCACAGTAATGCATAGACTACATACATACCACACTGTGACTAATGCCAAACAATAAAAAGTACACAGTAATCCATACACTATTGTGATGTCTCTCTCATGGATACCCATAAACGTATATAATATTAAACTATCACCCATCGACCGAACAATTATTTTTGTCTTTAGTCTGACAGATTAAAACCTAATCTTTTATTAAGATTCAAATTTACGCGGGGTCAACGAGGCAGAACCACTTCAAATGTTGCCGCCGAAACTGCAAAGGTTGCTCAAACCCTGTAGTAGTACGACCCATTCACAACCATGGTCGCTTAGAACCTTATCAACCATAGCACCACCAGATCCAAACCCTACAAGTCTCTCTCTCCTTGCTGACAAATGCACAAGCATGGCGCAGCTGAAACAGGTGCATGCCCAGATGATCGTTTCAGCTCGCATCAACGATCACTTCGCCGCTAGTCGGTTACTCTCCTCTTGCGCAGTTTCCACCTTCGGAGACCTCAATCACGCTTCCAGAATCTTCTCTTCCATCCACCGACCCAACACCTTCATGTGGAACACCCTCATTCGCGCCCACGCCCAAGCCGGTGGCCCCCACTCTCTGTTCCTTTATGTTAACATGCGCAAGCTCGGCGCTTTGCCCGGAAAACACACCTTCCCCTTTCTCCTCAAAGCTTGTTCACACTTGCCATCTTTACCAGCTTGCAAACAGGTCCATACCCATGTTTTGAAATTTGGGTTGGGGTCTGATTTGCACGTGGTTAACGGTTTGGTTCGGTGTTACTCTGTTTCGGGTGATTTGGTTGATGCCCGGTTTGTGTTTGATGAAATTCCTGAAAAAAGTTTGAGTCTTTGGACCACGATGATTTGTGGGTATGCTCAGAATTTCTGCTCTAATGAGGCTTTGGCGCTTTTTGATGGGATGATTGTTGAGGGGTTTGAGCCAAATGGTGCTACCTTGGCTTCGGTGTTGTCTGCGTGTGCCCGATCGGGTTGTCTTAGGATAGGGGAAAGGATCCATAAGTTTATGAAAGTGAAAGGGGTTGAAGTCGGAGTGATTCTTGGGACGGCATTGATTTATATGTATGCGAAGAATGGGGCGATTGTGATGGCTCGGAAGTTGTTTGATGAAATGCCTGAAAGGAATATTGTTACTTGGAATGCCATGATCTGCGGGTTGGCTGCTCATGGACATGTTGAAGATGCTCTTAGTTTATTTGAGAAGTTAAAGAAGGAGCAGGTTGTAGTTCCGAATGATGTCACCTTCATAGGGGTTTTATCTGCTTGTTGTCATGCTGGCTTGCTTGAAGTTGGTCGCAATGTTTTTTGTTCGATGAAGACAGTATATGGAATTGAACCGAAGATTGAACATTATGGGTGCTTGGTTGATCTTCTTGGTAAAGGAGGTAAGTTGCTAGAGGCAGAGGAACTAATAAAAGGCATGCCGTGGAAGGCTGATGTGGTTATTTTAGGAGCTTTGTTGGCTGCTAGCAAGAATAAAGGAAATACTGAGGTTGCTGAAAGAGCGGTAAAAGAAATTCTTGCTCTGGAACCTCGTAATCATGGAGTTCATGTTGCTTTGTCAAATATGTATGCAGAGGCTGGACAATGGCAGGAAGTTTTGAGACTGAGGAAGATGATGAAAGAAGAGAGACTCAAGAAAGCACCAGGGTGGAGCCTCGTGGCCACTTAATTGAGTTTTTATCATGGCTCGTGTATAGCAAATCTTATCATTGTGGAAAAGATTCGATTCTTTAAACATTATTAACAAAAGCTGAGGAAGTGAGTTACAATCTAAATTTACCGGATTCGACTATAAACTATTGCTCACTTCTTGTTCAATCATTGCTGTAATTCCAAAAATAGTCGTGGTGCTTACTGAAGAAGTGTTGCTACACTGCTGCTTGATCATAAAGTTGGATTGTAACAATACCACAAATGGCAGGTTATACATCCTAGTTGCAAGCACATAAGCATACTGCTGGAGGTCCAGAGGATGTTATTGGTTGGTGTTCAGGACAACTTGAGTAAGAACGGTAGGAAAGTCAAGTATCCTACAAAAGTGCTTGGTATTGAAGCCCCTTCTCTCAGCTGAGAAAGTTAGAGTCGTCAATTCTAACCAACCCTGGTGTTGGCTGTGAATTCACCGACAGAATGGAATATTTTTGAAGCTTTCTTTCATACCGCTTGGTGTTTATTTAGTATATATACAGGTATATTTTTCAGCATCAATGTACAAATCAATGGTAAAGATTTTGTAACTTTCTATTTATATATATTTTTTCTTTCATCCCTTATCACCATTGATTTACTCTTGTATGGTTAGGATTTTCCCATATGACATAGTTATGTTAAATAACACATGAGAGGATCCATTTCCGTAGAGATCTCACAATAGCAGCCACAACTAACACAAATTCATTATGACATGCATCCACCTCTGCGGGCGCACAATCTGTCATAGACACAAAACTCCCGATCCATCCCTTCATTGGCCATACTAAAGGTCACACTCATCACTCATGGCCACTCTCTTTGTCATGTGCTTCTACTACATCCATATTTGCCACCGTGTTGTCCGAAACATCAATGGTGGCACTGTACCTGCAGGCTCCCCAGGGTTGATGCTTGGGGTCGACATTGATAGCTTTGCAACTCTAGAATTTTGGGAGATTCAAAAGATTGGAAATGCTGCGGTGGGATTTGTAATGTGTTTGGATGAATTTGAGGACATTGAAATCCCGCTTTCATACCAAAATCGAAGCATATGTTCCACCCTTGATTTGTTTATTTAACATGATCATGTTATGTTCGGTAGAAGAATCCTAACCATCAATAAATATATCAACGGTAAAACATATGGTCATGTTAAATAAACAAATCACCGGTGGAACATAGGATTCTCCCAAAATTCTAGAGTTGCAAAGCTATCAATGTCGACCCCAAGCATCAACCCTGGGGAGCCTGCAGGTACAGTGCCACCATTGATGTATCGGACGACATGGTGGCAAATATGGATGTAGTAGAAGCCCATGACAAAAAGAGTGGCCATGAGTGTGACCTTTAGTATGGCCAATGAAGGGATGGATCAGGAGTTTTGTGTCTTTATGACAGATTGTGCGCCCACAGAGGTGGGTGCACGTCATAATGAATTTGTGTTAGTTGTGGCTGCGACTGAGTTCTTTCTACACTCTGCATGGTATTTATAGGAGGCCAAAATATTAATGATCATAAACCTTCAAGTCCTGCATTGATTTTAGATGTGCCTCTGTTTGTCGTTTTCCTGCATACAATAGGCATTGATTTAACACGTGTTTCTATTTGTCTTGTTCGATGCTCCCTCTCCAACCTATGCAGATTTGTTTTTGTCTAGGACCTATGGTCTGGTAGTGATCTTCTAATTATTTTTTCTTCGTTTTTTATGCTTTACTTTCAAAGATAGAAAGTTTCATAAAAATCAAAGAAGCCATCATTTTTTGTGTGGTATCCATTAACCAAAGATTTCATGCTTGTCATAAAGTGGTTACACATGCAATTAGCGAAACAACTTGATTTGATCAGCCCCATTGATGATAGTATAAAATTGTCTCATAAAAAAATGATACCTTTAAGATTAAATTATAGATGTAAATTAAATATGTCAATTAAGATGGTGACTGGTAAATGATAGCTATGAAAGTAAGTTTTAAAATTCTGCAATGATCTTACAAATATATATGACTTGTTAATACATGCTTTAACTATATCTTGCCTTTGCCTTTGCAGTAGTCTTTCATCCAAATGGCTTTATCGTTTCATCCTTATCCAAGAATATCTTTTGAGTAACTTACTAATTAAGGACTTCATATAATGACCATCACATTTAATTATGGATTTAATATGGAAGGATAATTATAAAGAAAAATAAATAAAGTCACCTTTGATGAAAAAGAAGTTAAAATGACAATTAAGTGGTAAAAATGCGAGTAAATAAAGTTATCCGAAAAGTGAAACTAAAAATAGAAACACGACTAGAAAAATATTCTAGTCTGTTGGGTAAAGTTTGATAATGAATGGAGGTGACTGGATAGATAAACCTTTATCCAGTTGAATTTTACTTACCTTATAAGTGAAAAAGTTTCAAACAAATGTTACTATTCCTCGTCTTGGGAATGACCGCGTATGTCTCTGATAAGATTTGTGTATATGCTTTGTTTAGTTATGATATTTGATTATATGATGTTATACGAGATATGTTCAATATAGTATGATATATGATGTTTTGTATATTATGTATCTGACTGTCATGCAGGAAGTGAGCCCAGGGTATGGAGAGTTCTCTATAAACCTGGAGCTTACTAGAGATTCGTCCCTAACCCCGTTTGGGGATATGATTTCAGGAACACAGTTAATTGAAGAGACCTCATGGGACAAGGACACTACCCGTGGCTAGAGGTACTAGTATGAGGCTATGGAGTTCTGGGTAGCCGGAGGCTACTATTTATTATAGATGTTATTTTTGGAGAACATGTACTGTTGTATAGTGTTCTATTCATTTGGTGATCATGATGTCTGATCCTTTATTTTGTATATGGCCTATATATGTTTTGTACATGTCTTTCAGTTGGATGCATGTACATTTGAGTATTCAGGCCGGTTGATACGATGATGTAGTATTCAGTTTATGTTTATGTGTTGGATTGCATGCTGTTAGACATAGTGGCACGAAGCCAAGTTATGCATGCGCCCATATGATCCTATATGGATATCTGGTATGTCTGAAAGTATTTACTGTATAAATTGTCTATCAGGGTACCTTGAGAGTGAGATTTGCAAATCCCTAGTTGTCCGATTTACAGAGGTTACTCTGTTCGATTTTCGTCTCCGTCAAATAAGAATTAAATTAGAAGAAGTATGCAATGTGATATGTCATGTGAAAAAGGATTATAGAAAAAGAAAAAGTTAGCTCATATTTTCGTAAGTTAAGTCTTTCGCTGTTTCTGTTTGTATCATATGTATATTAATTAAACCGGCTCGAGACAAGGATGTTACATTTATGGTATCAGAGCAGTTGCTCTAGGGAGGTACATGATATATGGCATAAGATATTTGAAGTTGGAAGTTCTTGAGTGTTTTCTTGGAGTGCTGTATAATGCATGTGTGATCACTGAGTGTGAGCGTAGCTAACTCATTCCTTAGTGTAATATATGCAGAGATATGGTTCCTCCAAGGAGGACTCGTAGGACATTTAATAATGATGATCCACCATCGGATCCTATGGTGACAGCTTTGACTGCACTGCAGCAGACTTTGGCTGCATCTTGGCAGCATGAATTTAAATTAATGATTAAGGTGAATCAGGATATTTTGGAGGCCAATAGGTTGGCTAATCTTGAGATGAAGAGTCTTATGTTTGTTGAGGTGCGTACAGGTGCATAGCCTCAGCAGCAGCCACATGAGTATTCCCAGTTGCCACCACAACTGCCACCACCCCCTCATACTCTCCATGCAAAGGAAGGGGTTTGCAATGTTTATACGCATGCAGAAGTTTTTAGTCATCGTGGTGGAGCTAGTGGTAGCGATTAAGTAAGTCTTATGAGGTCTAATGGATTACGCATAGAGGATAGAGAGATTTGTGACAGAAGGTTGAATGCCTTCAGGAAACATTCACCACCCCCACTATAAGGGTGGAACAGACCCCATTGCCACTGTAGAGTGGTGGACACAGCTTATTGGTGGAATAATGTCTGCCTATCATTGGAAAGCCAGGGTTAGCTGTGAATTAGCCATATTGCTGATTATGTAAGTTGAAGCACTCAATTTGATTGTAACAAGAATGAGAGTCCTTATGCGTATTATTACGGCTGTTGGGAATGTTATTGAGGAATCATTTATATGTAAAGATGTGAAGTTCAAGTATGATGAAGAGAGAGAGAGTCTCCTTATCTGTCTGTCCTTCGGGTTGTAAAGGCCTTGAAGGAAGGAGATTCCAAGTTTATTCTGTTGGGAGGTCTGGTTGGCGTTGATAAGGAGCCAATTTCTGATATCCCTATTGTCTTTGATTTTATGGATGTCTTTCTGGATGAAATTTTGAATTGTCCGCCAGAGAGAAAAATTGAATTTTCAATTTACTAGTTGACTGGAGTGAGGCGTATGTCTTTAGCTCCATACCAAATGTCACCTTTGGAATTATTTGAATTAAAGAAGCAGAGTGAAAACTTATCCAGTAAGAATTTTATTAGACCGAGTGTGTCTCCGTGGAGAGTCCCGGTGATCTTTGTTAAGAAGAAGGACGAGTCTATGAGATTGTGTACAGATTACCGGCAGTTGAACAAGGTTACTATCATGAATAAGTATCCTTTGCCGCGTATATGGAGCAATTGCGTGGTGCGACTGTATTTTCTAAGATTAATCTCCGGTCCGAGTATCATCAGATCCGGATAAAGCCGGATGATGTTCCAAAGGCAGATTTCAGGTTCCGATATGGATACTATGAGTATCTGGTTATTCCTTTTAGGCTTACAAATGCACCGGCCATTTTCATGAGTTATATGAATCGGATCTTTAAAGCCTATCTGAATCAGTTTGTGGTTGTCTTTATTGATGACATACTAATATATCCAAAGAGCAAAGAAGAGCATTCTGGGCATTTGAAAGTTGTTTTGCAGATTCTGAGAGAGCATCAGTTGTATGCTAAACCGTTAAAGTGTGATT